GCATTCAATCTTTGCAAATCCTGCACCCACCGCAGCGTCCCGTTAGGCTTAATAAAGCAGAACCACGGGGATGCATACGGTCCACTTGAATAGTCTGCGACGTGAGTACTTATCTTGCCGTCGAGATAATCCACCACCTTCCTTTCTTCGTCAGGATTGGGATATTGCGCCCCTCTCATGTTCCAAGGCTTGTGTAGCACGGTGTGTATGCGGATCATAGGTATCTTGTCTACATCGAGTCTGCCATGCTCTTCGTCACTAAATGCGTAAGCGCGATGCTTCCTCTTCATTAATTCCACCATCATCGTTCGCTCCTGGGGCAGTAGGAAATCAGACTCCCCTATGATCAACTCTTTTTCGTTTCTTCATTGATACGACATGGCCTTGCTAAAGCACTTTTCCTCATTCGTCGAATCAACCCTCGTTCCCTCTCGTAATATGTCTCCTCGTCCTCTGTAACGAGGACGGGAACCAGGCGGCACTTCTTGTCTACCGTCTTGTACCGCCTTTGGGAACCCTGCTTGAGCCGTCCCCTAAAAAAGGCCGACTCACGGATTGTGTTTGCGCTGATGCGGGGTTCCCTCCACTTCCTGGGAGCCGATATACCAATTCCAACCTCCCTGCCTCAGGGCATTCCAGAACTTGTTCCCTCAAGGCCTGGATGGCATCTGGATCTGCCATCTCATGCACGGCGACCAAATCCATGGCCTTCCCAATATCTGACAGGTTGAGGGAAAATGCTTCCACCCTCTCTCCTGCTTCGGGCTCTGCCCAGAGTCTCCTGCGCTCCCCTTCCGATTCCTCGATCGTGAACGATCCTCGATTGGGCCGGTTCCTTATACTCCTTGGTCCGGTGTTCCTGCAAGTAATTATTTCATAATTCCCGCAGGCAGGATCGCATAAGAGGAGAATCAACGTCCCATCATGTTTTTTAAACACCACAGTCTCAGTCCTGCTTAGGAATGACCTCCCCAGGAGGATTCCATGGTCCACGTCTGACATTATGAAAAAGCATGCCCTGGCGTTCACCTTTCCAACCTCGACGAGCACATTCGAGGCTGTCCCGCAAAACACGGCCTTACAGCTGGCTCCATGCAGAATACCGCAGTCAGAACGGTCTATATCCAGCCCGAATCTGATCGCGTCTGCCTCCCGAATAATGTTCATCTCTGCCCCGGTGTCCACCATCGCTGCGCACTTGGACCCCTTCACCATCAAATCCACCGTACCGCAGGCTACGCACTTCCAGTCCATCTTCAAGCCTGACTCCGACCACTCTGCCTCCTTGGGCAGGATCGTACCGAGATGGACATTGGGCACCAAGCGTCGCGACAACCTCCCTTTCAATCTTATCGCGGAGTCGCGGGGCTGACGCTAGGATTTCCTTCAGGGTCATGAGATCGTTATGCCCTTCTAGCAGCCGGTCGATCACTTTCTCTACGTCAAATCCCTCTTCCAACCGAACCGCATATTTCTTCCTTTTGGGCGGTCCGTCGCGCACGACCGGCTCGACCTCTCCCCTGGTTCCTTTTTTCCTCGCCCGCTGCTCTGCTTTCTGATCCTCCTCCCTACGCAGCCTCTCGTCCTCTTCCTCTTCATCGTCATCATCATCATCTTCTACTTCCACGGCCTCCTTTCTCTTTTCTGGCTCTGCCCCCCTCCTCGGAGGTTCTTGGCTGGCGTTGACTCTGGCTTGATTTCTCGTTCGCGCTGCCTGCGCCAGCCGTGCCTGTGGAGTGAGGGGTCTCCCCCTCATTCCTGATTGTGGGAATGACCCCACCACATTTACTCCAGGTCATCCAGGTGCTGATTCCGGACCGGAGTCGTAGAGGAACACCTTGGGGATGCTAGATTTTCATCTCTTCACTTCCTCACAGAGGTCCACCAGCTTCCGTTGGTACCTCCCCATCTTATCCAGCAGTTCCTCCATCTTCCCATATAAGACGGATGGAGACTCCGTTCTTTCCTTCTCATTTTCGTCTCCTACCTCAGTGATTACGGGCTCTTTCTTCTTACCCCTTCCTAGTAGCCTTTGAACCACTTCCTCATCACTCCCTACTTCCTCCTCCCCAATCAGGGGTTCCACCTTTTTCTGCCATAGCTTGAACATGGCAGGGGGTTGCGGCCCAGCTGCCGCTCTTCGCTGGGCTTCA